GAAGTAAACAGGACCCGTAACAGCAAAACTATATCAAAACATCTGTTTACAAACTCCCACACAACTCGTGCAGTATAATCCAAGTCTCATTTATCCATTTGTATGCTCAGTTGTTCCCAAACACATGCATTTTTGCTAAAGCCTTGCGATTTAAAATGCATCAGTACAAAGAGTCTCATGCACTGCCAAGCAGCATGCCTAGTCACATGCATGCACTTTATCTCTGCTTAAGTGGAGCTCATATGCCCGCAGATCCTCAGGTGCGGACAGGGCGCGTTACTTGTGGGCGGAAGTGTTTTGAATAGTTAGGTTTTGGCAAAAATGCACGGGTTTGAAGAGATGACTGAATAAATGAGAGTCAGATTATACAGCTGGAGTTGTGAGAGAGTTTGTAAACAGATGTTTGGATATAGTTTTGCTGTTGTTAAATGTGGTCCCCAATGACTTCAATTTATGAACAATGTTTGATTTTTCTGGATTCTGAATTCACCGTGAAGGCAAGCAAGAAAAACAAAATTTTCTTCACAAATTCGAGGTAACACAGGATGAGTAATTGAAATACAAATGGTCATTTTGTCAGTGAAGTATTCCTTTAATTTTGGTTCAAGAGTGAACTGAAAATACTTAAATTACTGCCCACCCTCTCTGGTCTTTGTCTTGCCTGGGTAAATATTACAGGAAATAAATATGTATAAGACTTTAAGAACTGACCGCAGTTTTGACTCTCTCTTTTACTTTCAGAGCTGCAGCGCTGTGCTGTGTTTTGCCTGCTTCAGTGTGGCACAGAGATCCATGACACTGATCTGGTGATGGTAGACAGGACTTTAACTGACATCTGTTTTGAAGACATCCTCACGTTGTAAGTCTCTGTTTTGTAGATGTGTTTTTAGAGGCTCAGTTTTTGTATAATACCACTTTCAAGGCATTTTATTTGTCCTTGTATAACTGTGTATAAACAGCAATGAGGTAGGTCCAGAGTTTCAGCTTCGTGTTGAGCTGTACAGCAGTTGTGCAGTGGAGGATTTCTCCCCGGGGGCTCTAGGACCCAGGAGAGGGAGCCGTCTTGGGGGCTCAGTGGGATGCTCCTCAGGGAAAAAGATCCGTGCTGCGTTTGAGTCTGCTGCTGTTTGTGGGTCCAGTGGAGGAAATGTAGGATCTGGAAGTGTGTCGCCGCCCTCGTCCCCTAACCTGTCTACACTGTGAGGATGACAGCTCTCTCTGAAACACACACCAAAGGAGAATATTTTAGAACTGAGTGTCACCTTAATTTTGCTCAATGCTTTCTGTTTGAAGGGGGCCTAAGTTTAACCTGCTGGCTCATACAACACTGAGAATCCAACATGTCCAGGAAGGTTTTAAGACCCATGATTTGTCACTAGCAGCAACAGGTAAGTTACAAATCCTCTCATCTTTACGTCTTCTCTCATTTCCTGTCCTCTCTCCTTTTCTTTTCTCCTCTCCTCCTGAAATTTAATCCCTAATCTCTTTGTTTTTTTCAGAAGATAATCCATTCTGGTTGCCTCTGTATGGCAATATGTGCTGCCGTCTAGTAGCTCAGCCTCTGTGCATGATTCAGCCAATCATAAATGGCCAACTTAAGGTTAAGGTGACTTGATTATATCAACCTGCTTTTTGATTGTTTTTATATTCTATGATATCATTTACTGTATCAAATAACTCCCTGCTCTCATTCAGCTTGGAGAGGACCTTAATTGTTGGGAAAATGCTTACGGCGTCCTCAGGGGCCACAGTCTCCTCTGCTATCAGAGTCAAGAGGACCTGGAGTCTGAGGACAAGACATTTGTTGTTATCCCCATCAAAAAGGTTGGTTCTTAATGAGCAGAGTCTCATGAATAAATAGATGGTTTCATTTACGGGTTTGTCCATATTGATTACAATGACATGCCGAGGCTAACAGATTGCACTGGTGATTTAATGAGAACAAGTCACTTTTTAGACTTACACCTTATAACAAATATAAAAACAATAGTGAAAATCCAGTGGAGGGATGTTACAAAGTACATTTACGCAACTATTTAAGTACCATTACTACTATTTTTATGAACTTAATAAATGTTGGCATTATACTTTTTGATCAAACCACGGATATGTAACATTTGTACTTTGTCATGTTGCAAATGTTGTTGAAACTTTACATTTCTTTAGATTTCAACAGTGCTGTGGTTTATGTGTGGTTATGTTTTGGCACAAAAGCTACTTGGTTATGGTTAGAAAAATATCATGTTTTATCTTAAAACTTCTGTTTTTGGTGGAATAATCCTGCTGGAAATGCTGCCAATGTCTTGCTAAAAAACAACAGGTTTTGGTGGCACAATTGCAGCTGGAAATGCTGCCAATGTTTTTGCCAAAACAAAACAAAAAAACACCTAGTTTTGGGGGCACAATCACTGCTGGAAATGCCACTGATGTCTCTTGAAAAAACACCCAGTTTTGGTGGCACAATCGCAGTTGGAAATGCCGCCAGTGTCTTGCTAAAATACACCTAGTTCTGGTGGCCTTTTGGAGGGGGCCTGACCCTTAGGTTGAGAACTCTTGGATTCACTAATGATATATGAAGTAATTGAAATTTAAAAAGAAATTAAAAAGCAAACTGTTGTGTAGCGTAGGGTCATATTCAAATGTAGTCACACAGCCGATATGAATGTGAAAGGGTGTTTTTGTCAGCAGCAGATTACAAGATTCTGTCACATGCATATAAAGCTGTTGGATCGTTTTGTCAGTGGACACGTTAGCCAATAATATCTCAGTGGGGAAATGGTAGCATTAAGATACTGCCTTGGTGTGTGTTCAAACTAAATTCCAACCAGATTATTTCAATGATTAGATGTGGAAATAATTATGAGTGTGTGTTTCTTCGTCAGGATACTCTTGTCTGTGTGTCAGAGAGAGACCCTGTCCATTGCCAGAATATATACATCAGCACACAGTGTCAAGGAGAAGATGTAACCTACACGCTGGCCACGCACACACCTGAAGACACGCAGCGCTGGACCAAGGCCATCTGGCAGCACGTCTTTAACATGAGTGAGGCCTGAATGAACAAAACTAAGCACTTTTGCAGTCCTGTCTCAAACACTAGCTACTGTACTAGCAAAGCTGGTGAGGCAATATTGCAGCAGCCTGAGGACAGGATTTAGGTTTCCCAGTGAAACATTACAAGGAGGTTTTGTTTGCCCTGTGTTCTCTCTATGAAATCACGTGAATTTAGGCCATGGGCCAAGAAAGAAGAGACTGCTTAAGTGTCACTCTTAATTAGTAAAACCTTCAGCAAACCGTGAGTTTTATTTGCACTGCTTACTATCACAGCATTTGCACATAATCAACACCTTTTTTGTTACTAGAAAGCACTCAGAGTTTAAGGTTGCATAGTCTTCTACATGTGTTACTATTATAACCAGTCGTGACAACACCTCAATGGCCACTATTGTTCTTTCCTTGTGTGTGTGTCATCATATCAAAATATGATCTTAGTAACACCTATTGTGGTGGGATAGAAACGGGTTTAAGTATTTTGCCAGGTGTCTGTCTGTCTGTCTGTCTGTCTGTCTGTCTGTGGACAGATTTTGTCAATGCGATAACAGCAACTGTGCAACTAGCTGTGTAGTTGAGATCAAAATTGAAGGCTAAGTTCGAATATGGGTGTGGTCTGAGCAAGGGGGCAGAAATAGGTTGGTAAGAAGTAGAGGCAATGCCCCCTCATTTTATGCCAATAGCACACCAAATTTTACAGCTGTGTTGCAGTTTTGGCCTTATTTTCCCCCTTTTTAATTTTTTCAAAAACACATTTTTGACATCTCCTAAACCATAGGTCTGATTTATACTGATTTTTTTGTGGATCATCATCTGACCAAGCTTATCAAACGTTATCAAAAGCCTGTTGATTTCTTATTGCGTGTTTAAGGCATTGACCAATGTACTGTAGAGGGGTGTAGCTCAGCACAAAAATAGACTGTTACGCCAATTACCAAAAAACTTGAAGGACATGTCAACGTAAGTACAACCAACACACCTTGAAAGTTTCATTTAAATCTACCACTAGAGGGCACAACATATCCAAAATAGGTCTGGCATAACACACATGAGACTACAAATTAGAAATAGTTTGTCCAATCATCACAAGAACTAAATATATGTCAAATAATAATAATGTTGAAGCGAGTATGTAAAATTCTTTTCTAAATCTGTCAACAGGGGGCGCTGCAAAGCAATTTTAATTTTTTAATTTGAAAAGCATATTTTTGATATCTCCTCCCAAACTGTAGGTCTGGTTTGTGCCAGATTTTCTGTGGATCATCATTTGCTTATCAAAAGTTCTAAAAAGCTTGTTGATGTCTCACAGCATTTTGCAGCTACTGAGCAATAAATCTTAGAGGGGGCATGGCTCAGCACAAAAATAGACCTAACTCCATAACCATTGAGCCAATCATCACAAAACTTGCAGGATATGTCCACATATGTACTTGCAACATGCCCTGAAAGTTCCATTCAAATCTCTACAAGGGGGCACCACAAAGGTGTGGAATAACACAAATCATAATTCAATAATTACAAAATTTGCATGATACATTAAATGATTATTTTTGAAACACATGTAAATTATTTTGAAATTGCTTAATGGGGCAGCCACCAGTTGTAAAGGAGTGCACTGGCCTTTTGTAATATTTGGCCATATATAAATGACAGTTTGTCCAAACATCACCAAATTGGATTTATACTTTTAACTTAGCCATCGACGCTTGTCCAAAACAGGAAGCAACAGTGATGCCAAAGAAGCGTCTGTCTGATCATCATATAAGTTATTGGTTTTCTTGAATGCAGGGGTCATAAACTGTCAGAGGTTTTGATCCTACCCAGCTTTTGAGTTTTAAAGGTCAAAGCTGGCTTGAACCCAGGAATCACCACTTGCAGATATCTGCAAGTGGTGATTCCTGGGTTCAAGCCAGCTTTGACCTTTAAAACTCAAAAGCTGGGTAGGATCAAAACCTCTGACAGTTTATGACCCCTGCATTCAAGAAAACCAATAACTTATATGATGATCAGACAGACGCTTCTTTGGCATCACTGTTGCTTCCTGTTTTGGACAAGCGTCGATGGCTAAGTTAAAAGTATAAATCCAATTTGGTGATGTTTGGACAAACTGTCATTTATATATGGCCAAATATTACAAAAGGCCAGTGCACTCCTTTACAACTGGTGGCTGCCCCATTAAGCAATTTCAAAATAATTTACATGTGTTTCAAAAATAATCATTTAATGTATCATGCAAATTTTGTAATTATTGAATTATGATTTGTGTTATTCCACACCTTTGTGGTGCCCCCTTGTAGAGATTTGAATGGAACTTTCAGGGCATGTTGCAAGTACATATGTGGACATATCCTGCAAGTTTTGTGATGATTGGCTCAATGGTTATGGAGTTAGGTCTATTTTTGTGCTGAGCCATGCCCCCTCTAAGATTTATTGCTCAGTAGCTGCAAAATGCTGTGAGACATCAACAAGCTTTTTAGAACTTTTGATAAGCAAATGATGATCCACAGAAAATCTGGCACAAACCAGACCTACAGTTTGGGAGGAGATATCAAAAATATGCTTTTCAAATTAAAAAATTAAAATTGCTTTGCAGCGCCCCCTGTTGACAGATTTAGAAAAGAATTTTACATACTCGCTTCAACATTATTATTATTTGACATATATTTAGTTCTTGTGATGATTGGACAAACTATTTCTAATTTGTAGTCTCATGTGTGTTATGCCAGACCTATTTTGGATATGTTGTGCCCTCTAGTGGTAGATTTAAATGAAACTTTCAAGGTGTGTTGGTTGTACTTACGTTGACATGTCCTTCAAGTTTTTTGGTAATTGGCGTAACAGTCTATTTTTGTGCTGAGCTACACCCCTCTACAGTACATTGGTCAATGCCTTAAACACGCAATAAGAAATCAACAGGCTTTTGATAACGTTTGATAAGCTTGGTCAGATGATGATCCACAAAAAAATCAGTATAAATCAGACCTATGGTTTAGGAGATGTCAAAAATGTGTTTTTGAAAAAATTAAAAAGGGGGAAAATAAGGCCAAAACTGCAACACAGCTGTAAAATTTGGTGTGCTATTGGCATAAAATGAGGGGGCATTGCCTCTACTTCTTACCAACCTATTTCTGCCCCCTTGCTCAGACCACACCCATATTCGAACTTAGCCTTCAATTTTGATCTCAACTACACAGCTAGTTGCACAGTTGCTGTTATCGCATTGACAAAATCTGTCCACAGACAGACAGACAGACAGACAGACAGACAGACACCTGGCAAAATACTTAAACCCGTTTCTATCCCACCACAATAGGTGTTACTAAGATCATATTTTGATATGATGACACACACACAAGGAAAGAACAATAGTGGCCATTGAGGTGTTGTCACGACTGGTTATAATAGTAACACATGTAGAAGACTATGCAACCTTAAACTCTGAGTGCTTTCTAGTAACAAAAAAGGTGTTGATTATGTGCAAATGCTGTGATAGTAAGCAGTGCAAATAAAACTCACGGTTTGCTGAAGGTTTTACTAATTAAGAGTGACACTTAAGCAGTCTCTTCTTTCTTGGCCCATGGCCTAAATTCACGTGATTTCATAGAGAGAACACAGGGCAAACAAAACCTCCTTGTAATGTTTCACTGGGAAACCTAAATCCTGTCCTCAGGCTGCTGCAATATTGCCTCACCAGCTTTGCTAGTACAGTAGCTAGTGTTTGAGACAGGACTGCAAAAGTGCTTAGTTTTGTTCATTCAGGCCTCACTCATGTTAAAGACGTGCTGCCAGATGGCCTTGGTCCAGCGCTGCGTGTCTTCAGGTGTGTGCGTGGCCAGCGTGTAGGTTACATCTTCTCCTTGACACTGTGTGCTGATGTATATATTCTGGCAATGGACAGGGTCTCTCTCTGACACACAGACAAGAGTATCCTGACGAAGAAACACACACTCATAATTATTTCCACATCTAATCATTGAAATAATCTGGTTGGAATTTAGTTTGAACACACACCAAGGCAGTATCTTAATGCTACCATTTCCCCACTGAGATATTATTGGCTAACGTGTCCACTGACAAAACGATCCAACAGCTTTATATGCATGTGACAGAATCTTGTAATCTGCTGCTGACAAAAACACCCTTTCACATTCATATCGGCTGTGTGACTACATTTGAATATGACCCTACGCTACACAACAGTTTGCTTTTTAATTTCTTTTTAAATTTCAATTACTTCATATATCATTAGTGAATCCAAGAGTTCTCAACCTAAGGGTCAGGCCCCCTCCAAAAGGCCACCAGAACTAGGTGTATTTTAGCAAGACACTGGCGGCATTTCCAACTGCGATTGTGCCACCAAAACTGGGTGTTTTTTCAAGAGACATCAGTGGCATTTCCAGCAGTGATTGTGCCCCCAAAACTAGGTGTTTTTTTGTTTTGTTTTGGCAAAAACATTGGCAGCATTTCCAGCTGCAATTGTGCCACCAAAACCTGTTGTTTTTTAGCAAGACATTGGCAGCATTTCCAGCAGGATTATTCCACCAAAAACAGAAGTTTTAAGATAAAACATGATATTTTTCTAACCATAACCAAGTAGCTTTTGTGCCAAAACATAACCACACATAAACCACAGCACTGTTGAAATCTAAAGAAATGTAAAGTTTCAACAACATTTGCAACATGACAAAGTACAAATGTTACATATCCGTGGTTTGATCAAAAAGTATAATGCCAACATTTATTAAGTTCATAAAAATAGTAGTAATGGTACTTAAATAGTTGCGTAAATGTACTTTGTAACATCCCTCCACTGGATTTTCACTATTGTTTTTATATTTGTTATAAGGTGTAAGTCTAAAAAGTGACTTGTTCTCATTAAATCACCAGTGCAATCTGTTAGCCTCGGCATGTCATTGTAATCAATATGGACAAACCCGTAAATGAAACCATCTATTTATTCATGAGACTCTGCTCATTAAGAACCAACCTTTTTGATGGGGATAACAACAAATGTCTTGTCCTCAGACTCCAGGTCCTCTTGACTCTGATAGCAGAGGAGACTGTGGCCCCTGAGGACGCCGTAAGCATTTTCCCAACAATTAAGGTCCTCTCCAAGCTGAATGAGAGCAGGGAGTTATTTGATACAGTAAATGATATCATAGAATATAAAAACAATCAAAAAGCAGGTTGATATAATCAAGTCACCTTAACCTTAAGTTGGCCATTTATGATTGGCTGAATCATGCACAGAGGCTGAGCTACTAGACGGCAGCACATATTGCCATACAGAGGCAACCAGAATGGATTATCTTCTGAAAAAAACAAAGAGATTAGGGATTAAATTTCAGGAGGAGAGGAGAAAAGAAAAGGAGAGAGGACAGGAAATGAGAGAAGACGTAAAGATGAGAGGATTTGTAACTTACCTGTTGCTGCTAGTGACAAATCATGGGTCTTAAAACCTTCCTGGACATGTTGGATTCTCAGTGTTGTATGAGCCAGCAGGTTAAACTTAGGCCCCCTTCAAACAGAAAGCATTGAGCAAAATTAAGGTGACACTCAGTTCTAAAATATTCTCCTTTGGTGTGTGTTTCAGAGAGAGCTGTCATCCTCACAGTGTAGACAGGTTAGGGGACGAGGGCGGCGACACACTTCCAGATCCTACATTTCCTCCACTGGACCCACAAACAGCAGCAGACTCAAACGCAGCACGGATCTTTTTCCCTGAGGAGCATCCCACTGAGCCCCCAAGACGGCTCCCTCTCCTGGGTCCTAGAGCCCCCGGGGAGAAATCCTCCACTGCACAACTGCTGTACAGCTCAACACGAAGCTGAAACTCTGGACCTACCTCATTGCTGTTTATACACAGTTATACAAGGACAAATAAAATGCCTTGAAAGTGGTATTATACAAAAACTGAGCCTCTAAAAACACATCTACAAAACAGAGACTTACAACGTGAGGATGTCTTCAAAACAGATGTCAGTTAAAGTCCTGTCTACCATCACCAGATCAGTGTCATGGATCTCTGTGCCACACTGAAGCAGGCAAAACACAGCACAGCGCTGCAGCTCTGAAAGTAAAAGAGAGAGTCAAAACTGCGGTCAGTTCTTAAAGTCTTATACATATTTATTTCCTGTAATATTTACCCAGGCAAGACAAAGACCAGAGAGGGTGGGCAGTAATTTAAGTATTTTCAGTTCACTCTTGAACCAAAATTAAAGGAATACTTCACTGACAAAATGACCATTTGTATTTCAATTACTCATCCTGTGTTACCTCGAATTTGTGAAGAAAATTTTGTTTTTCTTGCTTGCCTTCACGGTGAATTCAGAATCCAGAAAAATCAAACATTGTTCATAAATTGAAGTCATTGGGGACCACATTTAACAACAGCAAAACTATATCCAAACATCTGTTTACAAACTCTCTCACAACTCCAGCTGTATAATCTGACTCTCATTTATTCAGTCATCTCTTCAAACCCGTGCATTTTTGCCAAAACCTAACTATTCAAAACACTTCCGCCCACAAGTAACGCGCCCTGTCCGCACCTGAGGATCTGCGGGCATATGAGCTCCACTTAAGCAGAGATAAAGTGCATGCATGTGACTAGGCATGCTGCTTGGCAGTGCATGAGACTCTTTGTACTGATGCATTTTAAATCGCAAGGCTTTAGCAAAAATGCATGTGTTTGGGAACAACTGAGCATACAAATGGATAAATGAGACTTGGATTATACTGCACGAGTTGTGTGGGAGTTTGTAAACAGATGTTTTGATATAGTTTTGCTGTTACGGGTCCTGTTTACTTCAATTTATGAAGAATGTTCATGGGAGGCATGGGAGAAAAACAAGGTAACACGCAAGTAACACATTGATAACACACAGTGAGTAATTGATACACATGGTATAGATATAGTAATTGCAGGTGAAGTATTTCTTTATCAAACTAAACTTTATTAAAAGTAAAAATTATATCTGGCACAAGCACCAGGCGTTATGATGAGGTCAGCAAGGTTCCCATGCAATCAAACTCCATTCATTTACAGAATTGCAATTAGTTCCTCTAATCACAACAGTCTAACTTACCTCCTTTGTTTTTGAAGTACTCTGAGTCTTTCCACATCAGCGGAATTCGCAAGTCTACAGATTGCAAATTATAAGATTGGAAATATAAAAGCCAGGTTCAAGTATTTTCATGAATTTGTGGCTAAGATATTTAACACTCACCTGAAAGGGATACTTTTCCCGAACATGGCATAACATCTTCAGATGGCCTGCAGCAAAAGAAAGAGATCATCTATCCAACTATTGTCAATTTATCATGTTTCAATTTATTTATTGTAATTTCTTCACAAAATATTTACTTAATATTTAATATTTAGATTTGCCAATATTATGCATATATGCATGATAAACACAACAAATCTGGTAAACCCACACATCAAAACAAAGGCTTAATTTGGGATGAAGGGACTCCAAGGATTAAAAATGTTAACTTGTCTGACCTCTAGTGGCTTTTAGCAGGCATAGCGCCGCAATACAACTCTAAAACATTCCTTTATCCCTCTCCACTGATAATGGATCTATATCTGTCTTTTTACCCATGCATACAATATATCCTTGCACTCCATCTGACCTGTGTCCCACTCTCTGTAGAATCTGAGCTTTCCTCATCTTCTGCAGTTGGCTGAGCAAGGCCAGAATGCGAGCATTGCAGGTTAGCAGGCTCTTGGAGGCCTCCAGGGCCTGCTCTCTCCTGGTACAAGCTGCCAGTAGCTTACTGGCCCCCTCCCGCATCCGCACCTCCCTCTCAATCTGCTTCAGCACCTCTTCGTCCTGTTGGAGATCCGTGGAAACTATAGTATTCTTCTAATCAAAACTGTATTCATTCACTATATTTATATTCTTTAGATTAAAAAGAAAGAAAGATAAACAGCTTAGGGTGCTTGCAGGCTGATACTGACAATTATCTGATTACCAGGAACCAAGGATTCAAGCAGTCAGAGCACTATTAGGCCACAAACACACAGAAAGCATTTTGCAGGTTGGAAAACGTGAGTTGCATCACACCACCATTTTTTTTTTTTTGTAATTGAATGCCATTAGTAAAAACATGCTTGCTGCACCTTTTTATTTTTGCCAGGCAACAGATCCATCACCTCCTTACCCTAACCTTCCTGTGTAATCAATGTACCATTATTTTGGTGAGCTAAAACTACCTACTTATTTCCACAGTACATACTGTAGTAGCTAGTTATTAAAATAGGCAGGCAGAGGGTACTTGCTCTAGCTCTGGTTTAGGGTGCACTCATATGCTTCCACGCTTGCTGTTTTCTATTTAAGTCATGGTAACTGCGGTTTGTAAAGTTGTATAGCTCTGGGGATCCAGCAACCACCACCATTAGTTTCTCCTCCATTATTTACCAACTGTAAACTTGTTGTTGTGACCACTACAGAAGGCCCGCCTCTCAAATCAACTGATTGGACAATGGGGGGAAAAGCGGAGATGATGTGGGCTGCTTCTCTGTTCTGACTTGAAGTTTTTTTTCAGCTGAAGGAGTTCAGAGTGATCCGGGAAAAACGCTAGACGTGAGGTTTGTAGCAACGTAAAAACAGCAAGCAAAAAGCTAAATTCTCATTAAACACACCTACAAAAAGCCGCCTCCAGCTGTTAAGAATACCTTCTGTGTGATCAGGGCCTATTTTTCACTACATTTTTAGTCACACTGGCTGCTCTAGTGATGCACTGTTGGTCTGTTGGTCCTCCGCTTTGGCTCACACTGAAATATCTCAGTATTGAATGGAATGACATAAAATTGGTGCAGACATTCATGGTCCCCAGAGGATAAGGCCTGATTACTTTGAGGATTCACTGACCAACCAGCAGGTCCAAATTTCCATTTATCCAGTGAAAAAGATGGATTGGTGTGAACTAAATGATTTAGCCTAAAGACTGAACTCCTGACATTTCCTCTAAAGCCCCTATGTGGTTTTGACTGAAATGTCTATTGAACATATTAGATGAAATTTGGTAGAAACATCCATGTTCCTTTTGGGATGAACTTTAACACTTTGGCGATCATGATCAGGTCAAAATCTGACCATGTTTAATACTTTGAGTTACCACCAAACATCTGCAAATCTGTTCTCATCAGCCTCCGCTGTACTTTGTATGCTCACCTACAAGCAAGACTGAGGTGGTGAACATGGCAAACATTACACCTGCTGAACATTCAGAATGCTAAAATTATCACTGTAAGTATGCCGACGTTACCATGAAGCCCAAGGCACCACTGTGCCTTAGTGCAGCCTCGTGGAGCTGCTAGCAGGCTGGAGTCTCTGAGTCTTATTTGATGTGTCATAACGGGAGGAAGTGTGATTAGTAATTCCAATTCCCGGCTGTTGTTGATGATACACAGAAATAAACATGACTACCACATTATATCAGGTGGTAGTCACTATTATCAGCATTGTAACTTTTAAACACCCTGCTGATCCTTCTGTTAACAAGCTTCAAACACACTGGCCCAGGCTCATTACATAAGAGCCCAGACAGCGTTAAATTAGTGCATCACATTAATCCCTGGATGTAGTCCAACTGTCAGAGCCCCAAGAGTGAGCAATGACAATGTGCATGCTGTTAGAATTTACCTCCTCGCAATAGACAATGTTACCTTTGTCTTTGTCTAGAACAACAGATGCTGTTATTTTTTAATCGGTAAAAACAAACAAAAAAAAACTGTGAATGGAGCAGTGGGAAAACTCTTCCAAATCCACATGCGGTCGATGGAATTCCTTGATGGAATTCTTAATTTATAATCCACTTAGTAGTGGGTTTCCTAATGAGCTTTTTTTATGGAGAGTTGTGCAGTCTAAAACAAATTTAAGTGTATGTCTAATGGGGATACACTTTAGGTGATTCTCCTATGACATAATATTTTCCCGTCATTAATGAGTGTTACATAAGATTTTAAGTCTTGTTTCTCAATTGACATCATTACATAGCTTTACTAATTTGTTAACTGGGCACAGTCTTCGAGGGTTTACCACGCATTAACAAGACATACATATAAGTTGAAGTACAGCTTTAAGGATCAGGTGGTTGTTGCATAATTCAGTCATGTGTTATGAGCCTAAGCTGTGTTCATATGTTGGGATTTTGTTCTGTATAGATCCCAAATAATTACATAACCTGTAGCTCACCTCAAAAGCCTTACAATTGTGCCATATTATAATACCTTTCAAATAAGGGCAAAATGGAAACTGATGATACTGCAGATTGTCTGGGATCAACTACACTAGTTACAACAGTAACACAGGATAGGGCTTCTGTTAAGAAACTATAATGTTACAGTCCAACACACTCAAGATTTTTTTCAACATTTAAAATGACAAATACCCCTAAAATTTTTTTTAAAGTGGTTATATTACCACAAATGAAAATCAATCATACACACTGTCAGTACTGAACCACAATATTAACGCCTGTAATGAATTATTCAGAAATACATAAACTACAAGTATCCTCCTCTATCACTAACCTGGGTGTTATCACTCATGTTCCTTCTCTGCGGTGCCTCAGTGGTCTGCTCCAGTCGGTGTGCAGTCAGTCAGCAGGCAGTACAGTGGTGGAGTGACTAATCTCACAGCTGACTGAGTGTTAGAGTGGACCTGCGGACAGAGCAGTTAGTTACTCAACAGAGAGATCAAAACAGTCTTAAGCCTCTCAACAAGAGGTTGCAGCATTAGGGATTAGAGGGATCTCAAACCTTATAGTCTTATTTTCCGCTGTATCACATGCATCAATGAATGCCTAAGCATACAGTGATTTATACTGTCTTAAAACACAGATGTATTAAAAGCAGACATTTATATAGGCTCAAAAGAACAATTAGGCAGGGGCGTATTTCAGAGGAGAGGACACAGAGGACATGTAACTTTTTCATAAGGTGGTATTGGATCCTCCACTTTTTACAATCCATAAATGAATGTGGTAACAGTGTCTATTATAGTGAAGCTTGGACTATGTAGTTTAAGCGTAGTGAGAGGAGAGTCGTTTTGAAATCCTGAGCCCCATAGGATTTCATAGAGTTAAAAAAAAAAGTTTATTTTTGCTTACTTTATTACATATTATCATGCAAAATGCCTTTTACTACTCATTTTACACATTTTGTTTGTTGCAACACCTTTACTATGATTGTACAAAGCTTCTCAATCAATATGATGGCCTAAACTGTGCCAACATACCATCGTATATTAGCAAAAGCATATAATATTAAGTTAAATTTATTATTATTATTAAATTAGTAATGTGTGTGATTTCTACCTATACTAACTTGATTTATTCTGCACTTTTTTTTGTCAATGGGTTGAGTTAATATATTGACCTTGGGGGTGCTACTCTGCAAAAGAGCAACTCATGACACCGCTCTCCTTCTAACACTGTTCACACAACCACCCTGCTGCACCACCCTTCGGAGCTTCAGGTCCACCCAACACTTGTTTTATGAATAAAGAGTTTTTTGTACAGGACAGACCACAACAGGTGTTTATTAATGGTTTTAAATCCAGTAAGTTGATTTTAAACACAGGGCTCCCCCAAGGCTGTGTATCTCCCATTCTCTTTGTTTATACCAATAGCATTTCCTGTAGCAGTGAAGGAATGACACTTTTTAAGTATGCAGATGAAATGGCCCTGGTGGCTAACCTGACTGGCAACAATGCTTTGTACCAATACCAGCAGGCAGTCAACAACCTGGTCCAAACATTTGGTGAGAACTCACTTGAGCTCAGTATCACAGACACCAA